CAAAACTGTGTAAGCTTAAAAAAATTGCATACAAATTTCTAAAAAAACAAATCCCACGGAATCATAATAATGATATTTTTGATGCTGTTTTTGGACTTTTTTCAAAGTTTAGTTTCAATCTTAATATTTTTTACAAAATATTTCGGTGGACGTCTTCAAATACATATATTCAATTTTGTAGTCCCGGCGAAAAAACCGCAATTTTTTTGGTGATGCAGTCTAATGTACATAGTATAGACATGTAGCGAACTAAGGCCCAAAAAGTCGAACCGTAGACATCGCTGTCTGCTCTAGTCCTTAAATACAGAAAGATTATATTCATGACAGAATCTTGGTTACGAAAAGATCTCCCCTCTATTATGGTTCATCGTACCCTTTCTTCTAAGTTAAAAGAACTTTGATATTCAGAGCTATGCGGATGTCTAAGGTAGGCTTCAAGATACCATCTCTGTCCTTCAGAAGAATCCGGTGAACATAATCGCCAAGTCATGCAGTCAAAACATACGAAACAGAAGAATGCTCTGAACACAGTCACCAATTGATGTAGTTAAAACAGATTACACTTCATAAGAAAACTGTCGGTTTTTGAATTATTTCTTCAAGGAGAAATGATATACTTATTTAAAGACGTAAAATATCTGAGAGTTATCCTTGATAACAAGCTCTCTTAGAACTTCACCAATTAATTTTGACTTTACGAAAACTAACGCAAAGGATGCCTCTAGAGTATTAGACCCATATCTGGTGGAAGAAGCCAGAAGTGAAGTCGAAGGTCCTTTTCACTTGCATGTGGCAAGTTAATAGTGTATTTCAAGATAAGGTCCAAAAAATTAAAATCTAAAACAACTGCCGATCAACGAACACGTAAACATATTCCCCGACATCAGGGCAATGAGAGCACATGAGGTTAAATATTTCTTCCCGGAACCACCCGTAAGAAAAACGAAGCACTCTTTCACCTTACTGGATCCAAAGTAATAATTATTACATTTAATTGAGATGTCCTGTTTCCTGAAACTGTAGTAATAAATAAAGAAGGACCCGAATAATACAAACACCGTACTGAAGATCTCTCTAGTTGTGTTACAATAATAAGACGACCCCACAAACACTTAGCATACATATTTAGTTTTTATTTTAATATATATTTAACAACTCAAAATTAGCCATGGAACTCAATTCTGATTCAATCAGCCATAACAAAAAAAAAACTCCATAGAGCTAAATTATGAAACGACCGATTCGAACAGCTTTGTAGCTTAATATGTATATTAGAACATTTATTCAATTAATTTTTATTCAATATTTTAATAGTAATCTATATTCGAACGAATTTCCTAGAATCTAGCTCATAACGAATTTAAATACATTTAAATTGATAAATATAATAAAACTAATTAATGTGTATTTATATATAAATTCAAATTTACTACATTTACTTAGACGTTTTTATACACTTTAAAATACACTCGCGCCACACAACTATACATACGTATGTATGCATTTATCTTACCTACAAGCAGCCGTTGCCCCAGCACCCACACCATGGTATCTTACCCCCGGTGTGCGAACTAATTGAGATTTTCCGCCGATGTGAACGCACGCTGAAGGAAGTCGAGGATTCTCGCGACGAAGCCGAACTGTTCGATCCGTGTTCCGACAACGAAGTGCTGTCCTGATGCGAATGATGGCTGTGATGCAGATTGTTGCTGAGCACCGACGAACTGTGCTGATGATGATGGTGGCGATGATGGTGGTGATGACCGGAAGTGCCACTAATGCGATGCGCATTACTCGCCACCGTACCGTCGGAGTGACGCCTGGAACAACGTGAGCGCCCTGCAATTGCCTCAACAGCTGCCAATTCTGTCGGGTTGCCGGGCGTAGAGTCCTGACTGGATTTGCGCTGTTGAGCCGCGGAAATATTACTACAACTGCTATTGCTGTGATGATGGTGTACGGTAGCCGTGTGGCGCGGGGACGTGTTGGCCGACAGTGATTGTGGGGGATGTGCGGTGTCAGCAACGCTGTTATGCGGGCTCATAGTGTTACTGTTACTGCGACGTCGCACGGAATGTGGTGAATTGGGTGTGCTGTGGCTGGTCTGCTTGAGGTTCCTCAGCGCTGGATCAACCAGCGCGGATGGCAGGTCTGAGCAACTACCTACGGATGGAGAAGTCGTATTCGCTGTTGTTATTGTTGTGTTCGCTGTATTTGAATTAGTAGCTGTGGCGGCATCCTGCACGCCACTCAAATTAATTTGTGCTTGAGATCGAATTAGGTGAGGATTTGTCACTGGGTCAGGTGAGTCCGGCGTACTTGAGTCGCCACAAACGATTGAAACGCGTCGCGCTTTCCGTCGCGCAGCCTCACTACTCAGCGCCTAAATAAAGGATACATTATGTACATGAAACAAATTCTTGTATATTTAAACTTCGCCGAGCCGTACTCACCTCGTTTGCGGCATCCGCATTATTCGTATCCGTCCCCGCTGCTGCAGCTGCAGCGGACATATGCCCTTCTAGTGAATGCGCCATTGATGAACGATACTGCGCGCGCTTAGCTGCCGCATTCGCTATAGCGGTATAAAGTTGGCTTTTGTTTGGTGCAAGGCCTACTATCACCGGCGTGCTGCCCTGTGCACTGCTCGCCGTCTCCTCTCCCGGTGGCTCTGGTATTGCCACAGGCGTGCCACGCGCCAAACCCGCGCAGCGTATGTTAAGCGGCGATGGATACCCGCGCGCTGGCGGCGTTGGTGGATGTGCCTTGTTGGGTGCACTTACTACTGTTGGCAGTGGCGGTCTTTGCATATTTGCAACACTTGAAGGCGGCAGCTCAATTATTGCCTCGTTGTTCAGCTGATCAAAGCCGATGTAGGTACGTTTGTCTGGAAAGGGGACCATTGCGTCGGGTATGTGGGGCGACGGACTATCGGTGTGTTCGCGTTCCAATGAACGCGTACAGCGGGCGTTGTGGCCGCCGTTGCTGCCGAAAGACGTCTGTGTCGCGGTCGCGGTCTTGTTGGCGGCAGTAGTGGCTTGACTTACCCCGTCGTACTGAAGTGTCAGATTCATTTCAGAATGGTAAGGCTTCTTGTTTTTGTCGTTCTGTTCCAGCGGCTTGTTGATGTCATTATCATTCCCCTTTCGCTTGTCCAGCTGAATCGCCAAAATGTCCTCTGATATTGCTTGGATATCATTGAGGATCGTTTCCAAATTGACAGACTCCGTCTGTGAAGAAAAACCGAACAAGGTTCAAGTAATATTTCTTTATTTGGTTTCCGCATTCTAGTTACTAAACTTTTTTCTTAGCAGGTAGTTATATTTTAATAATTTGTAAAAGATTAGTAATTATTTTTTTTCAATGGCCTCAAATTTAAACAGTGCGCTACGAGCTATACGTCTAGAACGGAAACCACTGAGGGCTCTAGTTTAAAGTATAAATGGACATGACTTAATGTAATAATAGCTTGCCAATGCGTTAAAAGCGAATAATTTAAGGGTAAGCAATTCCTGAAGTTGACAGTTGAAGTTGAATTTTT